GAAATTCTCGAGGATTACACTGTGATTTACGGGCCATTTGCTGAGCGAAGGAAATGGAGCGGACGAGGAAAGGTGCAGGAGGCTGATTTGAGGAGAAAGCATGCTGAATATCTGAGAGAAATGCTGCCAAAGTTCAACAGACAGCGAAGAATGTGATTCGGTCGCTTCCCAGCTTCCATACGTAGTCGCGCTACGGCGACGCCTTTAGTTGAGAATCATCTGCTTCAATTGTACAGCTAATTCTTCTTCGTCATTCCGGTTCCTGCTACATGGGGAAAATAGAGCCTCTGTTGACTTAATCAAAATTTTGAGCGTGTGACACCTTGCCACGACTCAGGTCAACCAGCTTGACTTTGTCTATTACAACCATGAGTGGGCCAGCTGCGAGACAGCGGAAAGTTGTCGCGCCGCCGACTGGATTCGACACATATGACCGACTTCAGGAAGACGAGCATCACACTGACCTCTACCAGAACCCGGTACATTTCTATCGAACATTCTGTCTCTGACGATCTGAACTCTCTCCAGAAAAACCGACATCCATTAGAGCAAATCCTGGAGACACATAAAGCAAGCCTCGTCGTCGTTACAGCCCTCACGACGCTGGCGTTTGCCCTCAGATTCTACAAAATAAACCATCCAGACCAAGTCGTGTACGTGCCTTTAGGTTCGCTGTTCTCAGGCTCACTGTTCTCGCTAGTTTCGACGAGGTCCACTTTGGCAAATTTGCATCCTACTACATTCTCCGAGAATATTATTTCGATGTTCACCCTCCTTTCGCAAAACTACTCTTCGGTCTCGCTGGCTGGTTTGTCGGCTTCGACGGTCGCTTTTCATTCGAAAACATTGGCGACAGCTACACTGAAAACCATGTCCCTTACGTCGGAATGCGCGCCCTCCCCGCTCTGCTTGGCAGTCTTACAATTCCAGTTGTGTATGCAATCATGAAGGAGAGCGGATACTCGACAGTCATTGCAGCATTTTCGGCCGCGATTATCCTTTTCGGTGCGACATCATTCTGTGACGCTTTGCCATTTGGCTCAATTCATTCCAGACAATGCCCATGTAACCCAGTCGCGTCTAATCTTACTAGACGCCGCATTGATCTTCTTCATGTCGGTTACAATGTACTGCTATGTTCGTTTCCAGAAGTTGCGCTACTTGTGAGTTCATTCATTCAACCAATCTTTCAGCTTATAATTTGTTCAGGGAGTTCACGACAGAGTGGTGGGGCTGGCTTATCGCCACCGGGGTCTTCATGGCTTGCACCTGGGGAGCGAAAGTCAACGGGATTCTCACTGTGTTCGCTATTGGATTTGCGGTTCTCATTGACCTTTGGGATCTTTTGGATTACAAGAAGACTGAAATAGTGCGTCACCATCACCCTGCGTTTCATATCTTTGACCTCAGAACAGGACCGGTTTTGGAGACATTTCACTGCCAGAGCAATCGGGCTTATCGTGATTCCCTTTATGATATATCTATCCTTCTTCTATATCCACTTTGCCATTCTCATCAAGTCTGGTCCCGGTGACACCTTCATGAGTCCTGCTTTCCAGGAAACGTTGGCGGGGAATCAAATGTTAATGAACAGCCATGGTGAGTCTTGATACTTGTGATTCCTTTGCTTGGCTCATACCTGAACAGAGGTCCGATACTTTGACACTGTCACCCTTCGACACAAGGATTCCAAGGTTTACTTGCACTCGCACGTCGAAAAGTATCCTCTAAAGTACGACGATGGACGAATCAGCAGTCAGGGTGCGCCATTTCTTCGCGACTACATCGGTGACATGTTGGCTCATTTTGCACCTAGGTCAACAGGTGACCGGTTATAGTCACAATGACACGAACAACAATTGGCAAATTATCCCAACCAAAGCTTTGCCAGAAACAGGTCGTGGACGTGTCGTTCGTCACAATGATTACATTCAACTGCTTCACGTCGCCACCAACACAGTCCTCCTTACTCACGATGTCGCGTCTCCTTTGATGCCGACAAATCAAGAGTTTACGACTTTCCCGAAAGATGACAAGACTCGGTACAATGAGACTCTGTTCCAAATTGTGCTCAACGACGGTGATGACGGTCAAGCCTTGAAGAGCAAATCGGGATATTTCAGAGTCATTCACGCTAAAACCAAGGTCTGCTTATGGACGCACGCGAAGCAGCTTCCAGATTGGGCGTTCAAGCAGCAGGAGATCAACGGAAACAAGAATCCTACCGACAAGACTGCGATATGGTTTATTGAAGACATTATCGACTCTGAGGGTCAGTGTTAAGCAACACTTCTTGTCCTTACTGACAAGTATAAAATTCAGATGGTGACGATTTGGCAAATCGTACTGGGACTGCAGCGGCAAACAAGCAGCCGAAAAAGATGAACTTTTTCAAAAAGTTTGGAGAGCTTCAACTTTTGATGCTACAGCACAATGCCGGATTGACTGCCTCGCATCCTTATGCTAGCAGCCCCATCAATTGGCCATTCTTGTTGAGCGGTATCAGCTTCTGGACTGGCAATGAGGAACAGAAACAGATTTACCTTATCGGAAACCTTGTTGGCTGGTGGACTTGCGTCATTGCATTATCCATCTACGTCGGGATTCTCGGTGCAGATCTGCTAGCTCGACGACGTGGAATCGCACCTATCCCTGATTGTAAGTGTTTTCAAGTTTCTTGGTCGACATTGAACTCACTTCTCGAAGCTGTGCGCAACAGGTTGTGGAACTCGACTGGCTTTTTCCTTCTTTTCTGGGGTGTTCACTATGCGCCATTCTTTTTGATGGGTCGACAGCTCTTCATTCACCATTATCTCCCATCCCATGTGGCGTCAGCGATGATAGCTGGAGCTGTCCTGAATTTTGTGCTATCCGAAACCATCAACTATCCTGTTTCAGTTCGGGGAGCAAAGACAAAAGCTCGCCCACGTCAATATTCTGATATTGGACTCAAGGGACCCGTCGTGTTTGTTGTTTTCTGCATTCTGATGTTCATCATGTTTGTTTTCATTGCTCCGTTGACATATGGGACACCTGGGTATGTCTTTGCGGTATTTTCGGTGTGATTCAGGACTGACGATCTTCTTAGGTTAACTGGAGACCAGGTTAACGCCAAGAGACTGTTGTCGTCTTGGACCTTGCACTTTGCAGCGAAGAAGACTGCCGAGGTGGCCGTTTAGATTACGGGGTGGAGGCTTTTTGTATATAAAATGGTTATGAGCTCGCCATATATTTATTGACCCCAGTGCAGGAAGGTACTATCATCAGTAGACGGGGAACATGGGATCTATGCGCTTTGACCAAGCTCGTAGGCCACCAATGACATCCTTGATGACCAGTTCGCTGCTTGCGACGCTTCGCAATGCATCCGCCGCGATCTGTGAATCGTTTCCGAGACGACAGACGAGATAAGTATGTGTCGCAGGATCCGGCGGGAGATATTCAGACGGCTGAGCAACAAAGCGGTTCAAAGGAATGTCTAGGCTACCGTTAACGACCGAGACCACTATGAATACGACGGAAACGCACTGATAGAGTTTCCCAATGAACAGATTCCGAATTCGGTCGTTGGTCGGACATCGAGGATTTGCAGGGGAGCCGAGGGTTGGTCGATAATGCTCTTGAAGTGCTACAAGACCGCTAAACAGGAAAGCCACGACAGAATGAAGTGGATTACCTGGACATCTATTCGCGCTTGAGAATCACCTTCCTCCAGACCTCTGCTCTCCCAGTCGGGACGAGAACCGCCGCAAAATTGGACATAGTCGATGCTCTGTATTTCCCCGATTCTCTGACCCTCGATTCCGCAGGCTGGACATGTAGGCTTTCGCGACCGCATCTTGATGTTTCTAAAGGGTGTTGCACCCAAAGCAGAATACAAAAGCAAAGATGGTTTTTCATCTAAGAGAGTTTCAGTACCGTGTTGTTCAAAATCTCTGTAGACTCACTGTGCAAGCCGGTAATGATCTTGATAGCCTCCAAGGCCTGTAAATTCCCAATGACACCAGTTACAGCACCCAAGATTCCTGTTTCTTCACAGGTCCCGACGGTTTCTTGGGCTGGAGGTTTGGGGAAAAGACATCGATAACATGGCCCATCAGGGCCATGGTTGTATGTGCTGAGTTGGCCTTCGAATTTCTGAGCTGCTCCGCTGACAAGAGACTTGCCCAGAGCCACTGCAGTGTCCGAGAGAAGGTACCGAGTTGGAGCATTGTCGGTGCAGTCCAAAATGATATCGTACGGTTCCAAAAGTTGGACTGCATTCTGCGGGAGCAACGCTTCGCTCACCACATCGATGACTAGATGAGAATTGAGCCTTCGAAGAGCTTTGGCGGCAGACTCGGCTTTGGAAAGCCCGACTGTTTCCTCGTTGTGCAAAATCTGTCTCTGTAGATTGGAAAGCTCTACAATATCATGGTCGACGATTCCGATGCGACCAACGCCAGCGGCACCGAGATATTGCAGAGCAGGGCAACCAAGACCTCCAGCTCCAACCACAACCACCGATGCTTTTTTCAATTTGAGCTGGCCTTGTTGGATAATTGAATAAATTGGATCTGAAAGCAAGTTTCTCTTACCAGGAAGCCCGAACCCATCGAGAATCATCTGTCTGCCATAGCGGCGGTATTCGTCAAGTGCAAGAGACATGTGACCCGTAGAGGTTTCCAGACTCTGAATCAGAGGTCCAACTCAACTTTAGCCGCCTCATGCAGCCTCTTGGAACACCCGCAGCATTGATTCGTTGACCAGTATCTCGCACTCTGATTTTTTTCTTTTTAAAAACTCTAGGTCGATATGGTCACCTGACGTCGATCGATCGTTTCAAAAATCTCTCTCAGGCTGTGGCGCAGTGGCGCAACAGCGTCGCCTATTGGTCTCAAGTCTCAAGCACAATATCCGAAGTTCTTTTGCAAATGTAGATCAAAGAGCTATGGCGGCTGCATTTTCAGGTCGGAATTGATCCTTGACGCACAAAACCACCTTTCCTCCACCTCTTTCCATCCCTCTTAGCTCAGTTGGTAGAGCGCGTCACTAGTACAGGCTTCAGTCAGTTCGCTAACTTGAACGCTAAGCACGATGACGAGGTCAGTTGTTCGAGTCAGCTAGAGGGAAGTTTTTAAATCTCGCCTGTACGAGACATCGATTTTGGTTCCAGATTGAATGTACGTTGATTAATATAGTTAATTAGCCCCCGAGAAATTGGTTCATCGGTGCCCAAACCTGAAAGCTTGAAGTCAAGCGCGGTAGAACCCGTGATTCGCAAAGGTCTGCCAGAACCCCCGATGTCTGGCAGTAGCAAAGCCAAGTAGGCCCAATCTCTACCACACTGTGCTGGATTCAACTTCATTTTTACAGGAAATCTTCCGTACCGAACAACGAGTGAGCCCAATAATGCTCATTTTTTGCACACTGAAATCACTGGTCAGAAATGAGAATCCTGGAAGCCGGTAAGAGCCATTTTCCGTGCAGATTGAGCCTATTATGAACTATATGTCCAGTTCCAAGAAATCCAGCTTGAAAAAACGCGCAAATTCGCCCCATAACAGTTCAGACCCAGAAGCGCCTGCTACGACTCTAAAACCTCAGCGGTGAGCCGCGCTCTTGTTCCCATCTTTCCTTCACAATATCTTTGCAGAAAAAAGTCGAAAACGTCCAACAAAGGGTCCCTCGTTTCCAAAACAAATCAGTACATTGTCCCTCTGCCTTCTGGGCCTTGCTGAGCGTTTGCTTTCACAGAGTTGTACCAGCTAGCGATGAAGATGAATTTATACCCGAGGTCCCGTATGTGTTGCTTCAACTAACCATATATCTTGCCATTCAGCCGCATATATGCGCAGGTCTGCAGTTTCTAGAGGAAAACGTCGCGCCGTAGGACCTGTGGAAAGCGAAGACGAGTCTGAAGAAGAACAGCCCCAGTGTGTCTACACCTAGTTTTCTATATATCTCTCACCTGCTTTCAGGGTGGACATACAACTCGAAACTGTTGCTTTAATCAAAATGTGGGGTACCATTGCCAAGAATCTAGGCAACTTGCACCGTACTCGTCTTGAACAGGAACAGGCTACACTACAGAAGAAGATGGATGCCTTGAAACTCGAAAAAGAGATTGTCGATGCTCGCAAGGCTGTATTGGATATGGAGGCGGACAAGGACAAGACCCTTCTGGAGCGTTTCAAAGCCTTGGACAGCAATCCAGACTCTCTTGCCAGAAAACAGCGGATTCTCGAATTACAAAATCAAACCTTGGCTGCGCAGATAGAATTGAAGCGACTTGGGGAAGCATAGGTGAGTCGCGTTTTGTCAACGGCTTTATTGTGTTGACCTTTACACAGTACACGAACGATGGACTCTAGCATGGTACGGAAGAATGAATTGGAATGATATGGACTGTAAATGCTGTTGTATGAACAAAGAATGAAACCTATTCTACATCCATGTCCATCTCAATCAACAATTCGTCCCGAATTGGCTGCGAACCAGTCGTCTCTGCGAACCGAAACAGCGCCTGAAAGTCTTCTAATTCCTCCTGTTCGAGAGTCAGTAGGTGGACCGAAAACAGCAGAGTGAATTGACCGGTGATCCATTCTCTGAAAGATACGCCAGAATCCTGTCTTTGGCAGCGAGCAGATGTTCAACTGGCGCTGAAGCAAGCGAGGTGTAGCCCTTGACCAAAGCATGCCTGGCTGCACTACGTTTGTGTCGAGCTGAATCGTGGATCTGTTTCCATTGAGAGAAGAGGTGCTTCTTTCGGCAGTCCTCGAGGCAATGTGTCTCGACGTCGACCTGATTCTGCGACCTGATAAAATCAGAACAAACAAATGTCAAAAAGGAAGCTAAACCCACCAGAAATCACAATCTTCGTCGGGACATTGGAATCGAGCTTCCTCCTCTGTATGCATCGCATTGATGGCGTCACCCCATTTGGTGTGAACTACTCGGCTAGAGGATGGTCAGGATATGTTGAGACAAAGGAGCAAGTACTCACATATGTCTTAGCAGGGTTCCACGAGCTTTAAACTGCCATTCCCTTTCCGGTGTCCAATACGTTGCATCGCGGCAAACTGGACAAACCCAGAGCCCATTCTCGTCGGCCGCCTGCGGGAATCCCTGACGTTCAGAGAACAGCGACATGAGATAATTAACCATGTGCCATCGAACCAAGGAAGCGTCAATCTCTTTCTGGAGGAGAGGGGATTCCTTCTCGGCCTCTGCAGGACCTGCAACTACCAAATCTTCTGCCTCTGCTTCCTCGACCTGTTCTCCATGCTTCTTGTGATAACCTGCAGCAAAATTCAGAAGATTACGAGCTCTGATTTCTGCAGGAGAGTCTGGGTCGTCTTCATCGTCACTCTCGGGCTCGGTCCAGATTCGCGCTCCAGATGTGACAGCAGCATAAGACGGTCCAACTGGTAATGTCGAAGTGGATGCCAATGTCGAGGTCGGGGTCGAGGTCGAAGCCGAGCTTTGCTTCTCGGCTCGCTTTTTGGTTCGTATAGCAGACTTGCGGCCAGAGAGATTGTTGCGAGCCTTTGTAAGCGCATTGTACGCCTGTCCAAAGTTCAAAATAGGCAAAAGAAAGACATTAAGAAAATACCTTCTTCTCCGTCTCATCATCTACGCCAGGGAGCGGTTGGGTATTCTTCCTGTAGGGTCCAGGTGTGATGGAATCTACTGTAGGAATCGTTCGGAGAGCCTTGTAAGTCGCCCAAGCATTATCAGCAGCTTTGGTCAATTCAACAATCTTTGGCATGTTTTCTATTTCCTGCTCTTCTTCTGGTGTGAGGTCAGCCGTAGCGATGACTTGCCGCATGGATTCGAGCGCAGCAGCTGTATTGGCGACAATGGCAGCTGTAGCAGCGGAGGAGGACTCGGCTACTTGATTGAAGAGGGAAACATTGGCGCTAGAATTCTGGACGGCATCGGGAATGAATTCGGAAGGAAGATTTGCAGACGCCAATCCTGCTTGGCGCTCAGCAGGTGTCCCTGGCTTGTGAGATACGAGTAGCTGATTGACTTGCTCGACGTTGGAATCTTTGACTTTGCGCACAACGTGGCGCTTTCGGCTTGACGTTTGGGTGTTTGCAGTCTGGACCCGCAGCAGAGCCTGATAGAAATGTTCGAACAAGAATGTGAGAAGAAAACGGGGACGCACCGCATTGACAGCTTCTACAGTCACACCTGGCAATGGCTCGGTTTTTTGAACGTACAGTGATGCAGATCTCGAACTCTTCCAAGCTCCATTCCCTGGCGGTTTCGTGACCATTCCTTTGAGGGCCTCCCATGCGAGATCTTGCTCATGTTTATTTTTGAACAAATCCGAATCGTTCAGCGATGCAGTCGCCACTTGTTTCGATGTCGGTTTGACATCGAGCACTTCGGGCGGAAAACGAACGTCGTCGGATATCAGGAGAGTCACAGCGGTGACAGCTGAACCATGTAGCTCACTGATAGCCAAGCGGTCCTGAGATAAGATAAGCCTGGGATTGAAGGCGGCCAGAAAAAGAGCTGACCTGCATCAGCGGCGTGAATGGGTCTTTTCCCTCCCCAAGACGAATCCGGACGACATCGAGATGAGCTACCCCACCTCCAGCTTCATAGGTCCGGAGCTCCCCATTCTGACGATGACACATGAGTGCCTCAGTGAGCTCATGTCCGAGGATTATCGAGTACTGAATGAATGATTAGCAGTAAAAGCAGCGAGCGATGAAAACCATACATGGTCAGCTGCAGCTTTTCGGTAAGCATATAGACCGGTCTTTGGAAGTTTGGCATTGACACAGGCTCTTTTAACTTGTCTGCTGATACTGGCAGCTGAAATCGGCTCATTTGGGAGAAAACCACGACCGCCGATATCGCTGGCGAGGAAACTAAAAAAAAAAAAAAAAAGTCAAACAAAGAAGACCAAACAGGAAAATACCGACAGAGGATCGTCCAGCATTTCTTCTTTAATCTCCAGCGTATAGTCTCCAGCGAGCAAATCATCAAGGTTGTCGATATTCTTGAATGCGCCACGAAGGAAGAGGTGGAGAATCCACCATACTGTGGGGTCAAAGAGCACATTTGTCCAGCTCTCGACGGGGAGAAAGGTGATTATTTGCTTTTTGCCAATCGTATCGTTTCCGTTCTGGTTGCCTGTAAGCAAATAATTCTTTTAATCGCAAAACATACCTTGAGGTTTACTATATCAAAGTCGACCTGGAATCGCATAGGACCGCCAGGGAGTCGGTAAACTCTGACGTCTCGCATTTTGGGGTACTGAAAACTGGGTGAGGATGCTGATTTCTAGCAGAACAACCCTTACCTTGCCCTCCTTGCGGAGCTTGTCATAACTCCATCCGAGACTGCCTGGTCGACAACTCGTAAAGAGACTTATCAGGATCAACAGGATCAACTGGATAGCGACCTCTATAAAACCTCTCCCTGCGCCACTAGCTCTCTTTAGGACTGTTTCCGCAATCTGTCTGACTTCGCGTGGGCCATGTCGTTCGGATTCCTTGACATGACGAGAGAGTTTGTACTTTATGGTCACTAGCAAAAAATCAGCTTGGGAAAAGACGGTCTACGAAAGAATACTTGCAAGCTCTAACCGTGGCTTCATGGCGCCCATACAATCCACCGACGGTCAACAGCCTCATTCCCGCCTTCAGAGCGTTCGGATCGCAGCAATATCGCAGTATGATCTGGTTGAGGGTGGTCTTGTACTGTTCGAGAGTGCCAGCCGCGATTCTGCCATTCTCGCCTCTGCCTGGAATCCTGGCAAGCAACTCCAGAAATCCCAGGGTGCCGTCCTTGAAGGTGTCTGCGAGGAAGTATTGTTCGGAATTCTTCTTCATGACATCCCTTGCATACTCGACCCATCTCTCCTCCATCTGCTTCAGCCGATTCAGGACATTCGGGGAGGCCTGATGATTTGCGAGCTCCTTCTCTAGCTCTTCGCATTCTGCTTCAAACTTGGCCATGTTGTCTGGGTCGGACACTATCTCGTCGACGGCATGTTTGAATGCACGGTTTTTCCGTGGATTTTTGCTGGATGCATCTATGCGGTCGAAATCGGGGACTTGAGCCAGCGGTGGAGCCTGGGGGTTACTGCGGTATTCGGAGGAAAATTGCGC